AGTAGAAGCCCAAAAGTCAATAGCCTCATCCCCATTCCTTAAGAGTGATTTATAGGGAATCCCAGCACTATTTTTCCTTTATCCGGTTTCCAACTTTTTGGGGTTTAATATAGAGTTACGGGTGTAGAACAGGTGCCGGGCTGCGCCTTCTGCATCGCACTGGGTGCGCTTGTATGGGTAGTTCTCTTGATTAGGGTCGCTTTGAGGGTCCTTGTTAAAAGCGTGAGGTACTATTTTGAAGATTGAGGACGTAAAAATGGATCCTAATTTGATATTTACAGAACTACACATATAGCCGGGTCATGTAAACATGTCTGTGCAGACACTGCCAGGGCCCCAGACATGTGCTATAGGTGTAGGCCTCAAGCAATTTGCGAGTAAGTAACTCTACTTCTGGGCCCCAAACCATCAGATCCTCAGCAAGTACCTTGTCAACACGGTGTAGGGGTTTAGGGTTTAGGCAGGTTCTCAATCACGGATTTGATGCGTCTCGCCTGGGCCCGTCTGCGGACGTGCGGGATAGCGGCATCATCCTGCAGGACTTACTTGGAGTGTCGGGGGACTTAGTGAATGGTTATTTTATAGACTTATAACTACTATAACCCCACTTAGGGTTCCTTTTAGGGTACTTATAAGTCTAGTTACTACCTACTTACTAAGTCTCCCGACCCTCCAAGCAGGTACTTTTCAGGCCGAAGTGTAGACTATATAGGTATATGGAGCCTGCGGGAGAGATGGCCATGGCGACTGGGTGGTACAGACCTGCTGAAAACGATGGATATGATGACAATGTCGCTGTACCAGTAAGTCATGCAAGGGCCTGAACAATCAAAATAGGGTTTTGGGGTATATAATACTACTGGTATAATATACTATAATTATAATAAGGACCCCCCCCCCCCACAAGAGTTTAGGTAATCATAACCATTATAAGGCCCCTATATTACTCTGATTTGTTTCTTTCCTACGTCTCTAAGGGTCCAAGTACTCCATGTTATAAAACTCTGGGTCCTTTCGGTGGCCACCAAAAGCCCGACAGGGAGAAATAAGGACGACTTGGACCCTTGGGCATGTTGGGGTACTGTATCAATTCAGCGAGCCCAATACCCCTGAATTAAGGAACATAGCTTAAATCATAAGATTAAGGTCCCTATAATTTAAGGTATTTTCCTTAATTAAGGGGTATTGGGCTCTCTGTAACAAAGCCAGATCAGCGGTTCGATGTAGAACCAGCAACTGTAGGACAGGAAAAGGCCTCCTGGAGCAGTTGCAGCAGAAGGCGATGCAAAGCAGTGGCTCAAGAAAACCCCGCCCTAACCCCACCAACAGCAGCCTGAACCCTAAACCCTAAACCCTACACCCTAAAGCTGCCTGAACCCTAAACCAGCTTAAATATCTCATTTCCCCCTCAAGCCCCAGCCCCTCCTCCCCCTTTCAAAAGTGACCCATTGAATCTCTGGCCCCTGCAGTGTTGTGATGTTTTGTTCCTAGGCGGCCTAATTTAGGTGTCGGCGTCCTCGGCAGATACGGTAAGCAAAGGCCGGAATAATTGTGTTGGAGTGTCTAAGTAGGGCTTGACTTGTGTGCACCCCCACTCTCCTATCAGAAACTATACGAACAGTGAACACCCTAAACCCTAAATCCTGAACCCCTTTGAACCCTAGAACGTCAGACGTAAACCCTTAACCTAAAAACCCTGCAGCCTAAACCCCCAAACCTAAACCCCGAGGCGCAACATGCTAGACCCCTTCAAAAAAAGAGCGCCCCGAATCCCAGCAGCTGGCCTCGGAGGATTGGCAATATGACAAATCCGACCATGATGCTGATGATGAGATACCTGAGGAGTGTAGGTTTGGCCTTCAGGATCTGGAAGAGCGTCTGTGCTGCTGATTATATGCAGGTTTAGAAATGGAAGTGTTGGGATGATGGGTTGCGGGGTTTGGGACTTGGGTTTATTATGTTTTGTTGAGGGACTTCAAAAGTTCAGGCGCGTAGAAGCTCTGTTGATTCAGAGCTTCTGTGTAGCCTTGAGGGACTCCGGCCCATCTTTTTTAAAGCAACTCCAGATGCCAAGGTGATGGGCTTCGGGCAGACTGAAGGCAGCGAACTTTCCTGGGAGATACTAAAAAGCTTATCTAGGTGGGGGTTTCCGAAAATAGGGGACCCTAATGTACCCTAAACAGTAGGATCAATATTATAAGGACCCCAAAATAAGGTACCCCCCAATTTTCGGAAACTCCCAGGTTGGTCCTCTGAAGCCTCCGAAAATTAAAGCTACGCTGGAAAAGGGAACCCTCAACCCTGAAACAAGAAAACCGTAAACCCTAAGGCCCCAAAGAGAGGGACCCCTAATACCTCATGTCCTGTGCTAGGCCCGCAGCACTCCGCCGAAGACGGCAAAAAGCTTCCAACTGCTCTTCCAGAGGTTGTCCCTGGCGAGGTTCAGGGAGTGCGACTAGGATTTAGGGATTGGGTTTAGGTTTGAGGGTCTTGGCAGGAGGACAGCATTTAGGGCTTGCAGTTTAGCCGTTTTGCCTCAGGATGTGGCATTAATGGTCCAGAGTCCATGGTTCGGGGTTTTTGGCAGGTGTAGGAATCCTATCGGTTGTGTGTACATATATATATATATATAGAAATGTTTGCAGACATGTATATTCTATACATATGTATATTCTGTACATATGTACATTCTATACATATGTATATAATGTAATATAACATTATGTAATATAATATAATATTATATAGTATTAAATAATATTATATAATACTATATTATATAATGTTAACATAGAATATACAAAAATGTAATATAATACAATATATTATATATAATATAGTATAAATACATACATATGTACATACAGACAGACAGACAGACAGACAGACAGACAGACAGACAGACAGACAGACAGACAGACAGACAGACATGAGGAATGTCGAAGCATGACCTCCAAAACCTGTTCATGTTCCATCCTGATGTCGACAGGGAAGCTTTAGCCCTCTTGGGGCGTGTGGCTTGTTTGGGTCAACTTGGAGGCCCAGGGGACTTGGTTACAAGTAGAGTTATAAGTCCACTAAATGGAGTTACCCCAATTATAACTCTACTTATAACCGACTGACTAAGTCTCCTGGGCCTCCAAGAAGGGCTCAGGGGATTTCCGTCAATTTGACGGCGGCTAGCCTGCTCAACCCAAACCCACTAGTAGAGGGTCCTTGATAATTATCGATACTCTTTTGGGCCTTTTGGGGGTTCCGTATTTTAATTATAGTATTAATGGGCCAAATTGTTAAGGCCCCTATATTAATGTAAAACGGTTGTGTCACGATCGCCTGGGCACTGCTGCGCAACAACATGCGGTGACTCCAAGGTGGTGCATCTGTTGATGTCGTAGTCTGTACGGTCCGATCTAGTTTCTATGTCTGTGCTTCACATGCGGTGTTGTGTATCTTCCGGGTAGAGTGCTGGCACAAGCTATGAGCAGCTCCGATTCACGTGGTGGCCTGTACTGAATGGGATCCTGCATCCAATTGAGCAGAAGGTAGTTGTTGCCGGCCTCAAGCAGGTGCGACGCATGCAAAGGAGAGGTTGACCAAGACCCAGAGAACCCAATACCCCTTAACTAAGGAATATGCCTTAAATTATAGGGGCCTTAATGTTATAGTTTAAGCTATATTCCTTAATTAAGGGTATTGGGCTCTCTGGGGACGTCTTTCGGGTTTGGCATTTGTAGCCTTACAGATTCAGCTTGTTCGGGGCTCGTGAATTGGATTCCAGCATTGAAGATGTCTGAAGGACCCTTACGACGGGCCTCTAGCGGCTCTGGCACAGATACTTGAGTAGTCATTGTATCAAGAGCAACAGCAACAGCCGCAACAACAGCAGCAGCAACACCACCCCCACCACCAAGAACAACACAAGCTCAGACACAAGAAACAGCAACAGCATCAGCAACAGTAAACGAAGCCACGGCACCAACAACTCGGGCTTTGAGCTCTGCGAAACGACGGCCACATGAATACAAAAAAGGGAGGGCGTCTCGGACAAAAGGGCAGTCATCATCCAGCAAAACAGCAATAAACCTGCCAGGAAGAAACCATGAGCCATCACCCCAGACAGAAGACGAGGATGAACTCGCACAGCCAAAGGCAAGACCTCAAGCCGGGGAATCCCAAGTTCACACCTGAACTCAAAGATCCTGAATCCTAGAACCTTCCGCATCCAATATGATAGCTTGTTGTAGCCCAAAATACCAGAAAACACTTAGAAATGGTCCCAAGTCAAACGCCCGAAGCCCAAAACCGATCACCCTCACACCATCCCAACATGAGGATCTCACAACGGACTTTCTGGACTCCCCCTGATAGGCTCCCTTATGCCCGCCGAAACTGGGATCCTTATGTTCAGCTTGGAACAAGTAGGACCCCTAAACCCTGAACCCTGAACCTCTAAACCCTAAGCTCTAAACCTGGACCCTAAACCCTAAACCCTAAACCCTAATCCCTAAACCCAAAGGCCCTAAGGCTTAAACCCCCAGCCTCGAGGCCGAACTTGTCGACTGCGCCTTGTATTGCCTTCTCGAAGAACTTGCGGTTGGAGCCGCCCTGTGTTTACACGGATGGGCTGAATTCCCTTGCCCAAGTAGGGGTATCACCTTTCAATTTGTGGCAGTATATACATATATATATATACACATACATATATATATATATATATGTATGCATACCAGGTATGTGTGTGTACAGACATACATATATACATAATATACACACAGATACTATGCGTAAAAAATCTTAAACGTTACCTCCCTTTAATTAGCTTGTTCGAGTTCGCATAATGGTGTTGGGCTTCCACGGGCTCTTGGTTTACACAGGATGAAAGCCCCCGACGTTCAGGGTTGTTAGAATGTACCTTAACCCACCAGAACCGACTTTTTTGTAGGGTCCCTATAAATCCCATATTAGGGTTTATAATCGGAATCTACAGAAAAGTGGGTTTTGGTAGGTTAAGGTATACACTCGAGGTACCAAAATCCCTCGATGTCTGCATCCGAGAAAGCCCACTGGTGTCACATGAAATGGCCTGAGAGGGCCAGAAGCCACTTTACGCTAGTAGCTGGCCCGAGCCCGGGAGTTCTTGCTAGTAGATATGGGAGTTGCCGAAAACAAGGGGTACCTTATATTTGGGGATCCTGATAACAAGGATCCTATTATTTAGGGTACTATATCAGGGTCCCCTATTTTCGGAAACTCCCATATGGTTTAGTTCAGGGCCTATAATATCTATGGTTGGGGCTCCGTACAATCAACAACCGGCGTGTTCATGACTAGACTGAATGGCAAGTCACAAAGTCACATAAGACATGAGATGGGGCAGCATTGTCATCATGCTTGAACAAATAGATGGGGCGTCTCGTTCAACCCTAACCCGAGTCCCCAAACTCTAAACCCTAAACCCTAAACCCAAACTCTATTTCTTCTCCTGGCCCTACCGGACCTGGTCGCGATCCGGAAGAAGCAGGCCACCATGTGCCTGTGGATTCTGTGCGTCGCCGCACCTGGGCTTCGGGCGAGATCTCGAACAGCGGGATGAAATTTCTGAAAGCCCAATTGGGCTTCCATTGATATTAGGGCAAGGGGCTTGGGGCAACAACGATGGTTTAGGTGTAAGGTTTATAGGGTTTCGAGTCTAGGGTCCAGTCTTGGGCCCCATAATTACTTCTACCTTTTCACTAGTAGAACCTATAAAGCCTTCGTAAATCCGTACAGAAGCCGCGAAAGCAACTCTCCCACACAGGCCCCGGGCTTGAAGGGCTCCTGTCCTCCGCAGCAATTGAGGCCGGCGGCCCAGAATTGAATGCCTCCGCCGATTTCATTAGTGTCAGTTTTTTGGAGCAAGCTTGTTCTGTTGCAAGGTGACCCTAAACCCTACGAGCCCTAAGTGGGGTTTATGGCCTACACATGTTGGGTGACTTGTTAGGGCTTGGAGGAACTGGGAGGTTGACCGGCTATCCGGTCGTGAACCCCTAAACAAACTAGCCCCTAGACCCTAAACCCTACATCCTAAACCCTACACCCTATACCCTAAAAACTCGAAACCCGAAAAAAAACAGACGCGAGGCTTCGGCTGAACCGCGCGAGAGGGGTCGGAGAGTTTGCGGGCTCAATCTTCGAGGGTACGGCACCTCTCACTGTAACCCTTACATGGACCCGAGAACCTACAGCTCAAGTCTCTAGACCGCGGCAGAGCCCATGTAAGGCCTTTTTCAATGGCCTACTGTACAAAGCCCTTCACCCTTAAGCCCTACCTAAACGCTTCAAGCCCACTAAGCCCTAAACCATAAACCCTCAACCCTGAACCCTAAACCCTAAGCCCTAAACCCTTCAGGCCCCAAGCCCTAAACCCAAGGCTCTCAACCCTGGAGGCAGCACTGGGCCCCTAGCGCTTGAAGTCGCTGTCTGCCGTCTTCACAGGAGCAACCTGGGGCTTCTTAGGGTTTCGGGTCTAGGATTTAGGATTTCGGATCTAGGAGTTTAGGGTTTAGGGTTGAGGATTTAGGGTTTAGGGGTTTAGGGGCTTAGGTTTAGGGTTTAGGGTTTAGGATTTAGGGTTTAGGGTTCAGGATTTGGCGGTTATGGCGTAGGGGTCCCTAAACCCTAAACCCAAATGGGGTACAGGGTCTGGGGTTCGGGGTTTCGAGACGTTCTTGGAGTGCAAAGGAGCAAGGGTTTAGGGTTTAGTGCCTAGGGGTTTAGGGTCAAGCTCTTGGGCTTATGGCTGGGATGCTCTATGCGAACTACTTGCAAAAGATGTTTTTCCAGGATGCCCAAACAACAAACTTGGGTCGTAAGGATGAGAAACGTAAGCATTTCGGGCGGCCCTCTGTGACTAGTCTTGAGTCAGTTGGCAACACTATAAACCCTAAACCCTAAACCCTAAACCGATTGCAATTCCCTTGGGCACGTTCGACTCAGAAGGATTTGTTAGGCTTCAGAGCTGAGATTGCCAAGAGCTAGTGGCTGCAGGGAGGTCTTGTGAACCGAGCATATGGTTTAGGGTTTAGGGTTTAGGAGTTTCATGAATTTGTTAGTACTATGCCCCTGATTCTTCAAATTCTCAAGCCACACCCGCAGTGAAAACACCAGAACAGAACCACTTGCCGCAACAGAAATCCTGCAGCAACTGGGCGCCCACTCTAACAGAGTTCCAGTCAATGCATGGAAAACCCAAGAAATGCGGTGGGAGTATACCTGTACTGAAACTTATGGCAAGGTATGCTCCTCAATTCATTTTTTGTCTTCCAGCAATTAACATGTTAATATTCAATCCATACTGCAGGTGAGTGACACAGTAGATCGTCGCAGCCGGAGTGCTCGCATCCGTGAAGCCTCATGCTGGAACGGTACATCCACACACAGTTAAGTATGTACGACAAAGAGATAACTGCCGCATGCATAGACAGACAGGCAAACCGCTAGATGGCTAGATAGATGGACAGATAGATTCAGATAGGTAGGTAGGTAGGTAGGTAGGTAGGTAGGTAGGTAGGTAGGTAGGTAGGTAGGTAGGTAGGTAGGTAGGTAGGTAGACAGCTAGACAGATACGAGCGCGCGTGGTTTCATAGCCCAAACACCCTTTAGATAGCCCAACCCCATGGCACAGCGGGTAGCCCAACATGTCAAGTAGATGGCCCACAACCCCAAACCCCATGGCACACGAGGCTCACAACATGCCGCATTCACCAAGAAACTTACCTCTACTTGGAGATCGCCACGCGGGAGAAGCTCGAAACTCTCAAGAGAATGTATGGTTTGTAGAAGCTTCCCGCAAGGCACAGCAAGAATTGACGGATGTTAAGGTATCGACTCAACGCGTCCATAAACCTCACCACTACTTGCAGAGTACCACGCGGGACTAGCTCGAAACTCTCAAGACATGTGTGGTTTGTAGAGGCTTCCCGCAAGGCACAGGCAGCATCGACTGATGTTATGGTACCCACTCAACACAGTGCGATCTGCTACGGCGTTGTTTGGGGTACTGCAGGAGCCGATCTGTTACGGGATTGTTTGGAGTACTGCAGGAGCCGACTTGTTACGGCATTGTTTGGGGTGCTGCAGGAGCCGATCTGTTACGGCATCGTTTGGGGTACTGCAGACGAGGCTCCAACCATAGCAGGCATAGCCAACCAAAACCCAGGAACACCAGTTCATTTGGAAACACCAGTTTCCGGAAAACTCTGTTATGACGCGTCCAA